ATAATTCATTAGGAGATAGAGGCAAATAGTAGCTGATTGATCCCTGAAAAAGAAAGACTTTAGTGACAGAAACTTTACTGACTGTCACAGCAATCTAGTCCACTGGTGGTGCTACTGTTGTCTCTTCTCAGAAGAGAGGTCAGTCGGTGTCCTCCAAGACATAACAGAAAAGAGACACAGAACCCTTTCTTACCAATCCAGCCACTTCCTAGCCCTTTCCCTGATAGCAACTATTTCTAAAATCTAATATTGAATTATTTTTAGTGTTACTTATCTTTCCTAGTATACTGCCCTGTTTAATAATGAGATTGTGGCATAGGTTCTTAGCCTGGCTTCAAGAACCTAATAAATTCCTTGAAACTACATAAGGAATGGTTGCATGTCTGCATTTTTCTAGTAAGTCAATAATGTTTAACATTCTCTCAGTGGGGTCCATAAAATCTAAGACCCATTAAGATACCCAGGTAGCTAGATTGGTAGTTTTTCTAGCATATGCTATTTGATTGAGGTATAAAACACAGCTAACTTTCAATTATAATCAATAAAAGACATTTATTAAATAAAATAAGTAGCTTTGGAATATAGTCAAAGATAATAGCCTCTAAAAGTGTTTTTGCATGGAGGTAGAGAGTGGAAAAGGTTAACAGACTGGGAAGAGTGAATGAAGGGATCAGGGGAGGATAAAAAGAAGTGGGTTAAAGGGTGCAAACATACAGTAAGATAGAAGGAATAAATTCAATGTTTGATAGCCAAGTAGGATGACTATACTTAACAAAAATAAATTGTGCTTGGGTGACGGATACCCTAAATACTGTGACTTGATCACTATATGTTATATACATGTGAGAAAATTTCTCATATACCCCATAAATTTACAGAAATTAAAAAAAAGTGTTTTTCAAATTGTAAACTGCAACCCATTAGTGGGTTGTGTCTAGCATTTAAAAAAAACCAAATAGAATAAATGAGAATAGAATAGAAAATATCATAGAGTACACTACATATAGTAAAGGCATTGTTTTATAAAACTTTTATTTCCATTTTATATGTATGTGTGTTGTAAACTGGGCCATGATGTAAAATAAATTTCTTATCATGGGAGATAGCCAACAAAAGTTGAAAAACAATGCTCTAATACCTGCTTTTTTCTTTTCTATTTTGCCTCATAACTTCTTTATATACCACTTCTATGGAAGCTTGGGGCGAAAAAAGTTATGATGACAAAAATAATAATGGTATAAAGAACAATACTTACTGAGTATTCACTATGTGCTAGGAGCTGTGCTAAGTGTTTTACTTTCATGATCTCATTTAATTTGCACAACTCAATGAGTATTATCAACCTCCATTTCATAGAAAAGAAAACTTAGATTTAGACAAGTAAAACAACTCTATATAGACATAGGCCATCTGACTCAAAGCCATGCTGACCACAAAAACTGCAGGCAATAGGTCTCCTAGACAATCTCATGAGCAGATGATTCCCTTGGTGATAAACAAGAATTACATATTATAATTTTAGAAAGATTTAGAGCCTTGGTCCTGTGATGATGCTACATTGTTCTTTATACTCATTGTTTTGGTTTTAATTGATACAGAATATTCTGTAAAACTAGTTGTTTCTTCCTAGAGATATATTTTATTTTTTAAAATTAAAAAAGTTTATATGCAGACATGAGATATAATTTATTTTATTAATCCCCAAACTTAAAGATCCCTTTAAAGGCCCAATTAGTATAAAATTACAAGTAGCAGAGTACCATGTAAATGAATGCTATTTACCTTCAGGGGTTTGTTGTGAGAATTCAACACTCAACAAAAAACACTGAAAAAAATACTATCAGTACCTGTCATATAGTAAATGTTCAATAAACATTTAGCTATTATAGTAATAAATATCACACAAAATGATAGGAAAGTGTATACAGTTTTTTGCTTAAGTTTTCCCCTACTTTATAGTTAGTCCTTGGGAATTATCCAAAAATAAGCTCCTTTACTTTTTAATCCATTAATTAATTTTAATTTTTTTTTTTTTTTTGAGGTAGAGTCTTGCTTTTCCTGGGATAGAGTACAGTGGCGTCATCATAACTCACTACTACCTCAAACTCTTGGGCTTAAGCATTCCTCCTGCCTCAGCCTCTTGAGTAGCTAGCTGGTACTACAGGTGTGCACCACCATGCCTGGCTAATTTTTGCATTTTTTGTAGAGACCGGGGTCTACGTTGCTCAGGCTAGTTTCAAATTCCTGGCCTCAAGCAATCCTCCTGGCTCGGACTCCCAAAGTGCTAGGATTATAGGCATGAGCCATGGTGCCCGGCCTGCTCCTTTGCTTTTTATAGCAAGAGGAATTTAAAGTGTTTCTATAGCTACATCTATACAATGAAAAATCATTCAGAAAGTTCGGTTCACAATTCACCTGACCATCTAGCAGCTTGAGTTCAAGGTTCAAACATAAATGCCTACCAGCCTAAGCAGATAACCTGAATGAGACAAGTGGGATGGCTAAGGGTGGGTAGACCTAGGTTGTGTGAATGGAGAACAGGGTATACTACCTTAAAATGAATATCGTCATTCAGCAACAGAAGATTTTATGCTATGCGGAAATATATTATGGTCTATATTGTCAGATTTTCAAGAGAAGCCAAAAATCTGGATACCTCAGTAAAATTTCCTGATATTTGCACGTTGACACAAATTTAAATAACAAAACACTTTGTGGGCCAAAGAAAACAAGTCTATAGGTTCAATACAGCACACAGGTTGCCAGTTTGCTACTCAGCTTTAGTTTTATGCCATCACTCAGACATACTAAGCTGAATGATACAGCCTAGGTAAGACTATTATCAACCAAAAGCTTTCAAAGGGTGGCCACTTTGAAGAATCCCAGAATACACACATTCTGAAAGTATAACTCTCCTTTTAATTTTAGAAGCTTTGGAACATGTATACTAGCTTTCTTTGGATAACTTATTGCTATCCCAAGAAAAAAATTTCACAAGTCCTGAGAGACAAGCCTGTGTGATAGAGAAAGGATTTAAAGTTAAGGACAAATAAACATAAATGCATAAAGAAAAAGTGAATATATTCATGTGATTTCAGGTGAATACTTCTATTCAAGGTTGAAGAGGTTAAAAAAACTTTCTATATAGATCATAAAATTATCTTTATTATAGAAGGAAATGCTTATATTTTATTAACCTTTGTGATATAACACTAGTATTTCATAATTCCTTATAAAAATAGGAGCACGACATCTTTCATGGAGATGAGCTTCTCAAGTCAGTCCATAAAGTGAAAATTTTTGCATAGTCAAAATTATCTTTGCAAATCCCTTAAATCACCCTAAGGAACATGGTTTTGTATACACTATACCACCTCAATAAGTTTAATACAATTAATTTTTACTTCATCCTTGGAACGGATGATGTTTCTTTGGTTATGTATGAAGGAAAAATAGTTGAAATTTTCAACTATCACCCACTTAGGCCAGTTGGATAGAATGACTAGAAAGTGTGGTTTATGCAGAGGAGACAAACTAACCTGAAAAGCTAACCTCTAAGACACGCTAGAAAAAGATATTGGTTAAAATACCTAGACAAGAAAGAGGCACTGGGTGGCTTCAATGCCTAAGAGAAGCAGAGATTTAGAAAAATACAATGAACAGTCCTATGGGTATCTCTCCAAACAACATAGGAATAAAAAATAAAGATATAGTTTAGAAAAATTTAGCAATGAATTCAGTGCAGGATCTGTAAAAGATTAAATGTCTTACAGAAATAGTTACTATTTTGTTCAGTAAACCAACACAAGAAGAAGAATGTTCTCATTAATAGAATTTCTGGTAGCTTAAGTATTAACCTCATTTACAGGCACAGGGAACTAAATTGCCCAAACCTGTAGTGAGGGAGAGCTAAAGGTATTTTACTTCTGACTTAAATGTAGTCTCAAATTTACTTCTTTCCTGGGATATAAATGCAATGCAACAGATAAGAATTTCAACCTGTTTTAATTTTCATTAAAAGTTAACAAACTGGCATACCAGTTTATACATGAATCACTTCACCAGGACCTAATCATTTCTAAGTAAAATGAAAATACCATGTTTTGGAACTTCTAAAGCTAAGGATTAGGTTCTAAAACCATGGCAGATGCTAAAGCTGTCCTTAAGGCACATCATAACTATAGTATTAATCTGTAATATACTTATTACAGATTAAAAGTATGTATATATATATCTATCTGTCTATTTATTTAACAGTCTTGCTCTTGTTGCCCAGGCTTGAGGGCTTAAGCAATCCTCCTGCCTCAGCCTCCCGAGTAGCTGGGACTACAGGTGCATGCCATCATGCCCGGCTAATTTTTCTATGTTTAGCAGAGACAGGGTTTCGCTCTTGCTCAGCCTGGTCTTGAACTCCTGAGCTCAAGTGATCCTTCCACCTTGGTCTCCCAGAGTGCTAGGATTACAGGCATAAGCCACTGCACCTGGCCAAAACTGTCCATTTAATGGAGCACATACAACCAGTAATTGGTGACTACAAATACAACAGCAGTAACTTTAATTGCAATCAACAAACTCAGAGACTTTTTTTTCAAAATTTTTTTTTCTATATCCCAAGTTATCAAGCAATCATAGAATCTTATAAGTGTGTGACTGTCACGTCGAACACATATTTATGGAAAATGCTTTCTGTAGATGAATCAATCAGTATATAATAGTGGTAGGATTATTTAAAAGAAATTAACCATAACCTGAGGTAAGAAAATTAAAAAAAAAAAATGGTAAAAATGGGATACAGGTTGTATTCATGACAGCACGTTAATTTCAGTGACCAGGCAGGGAGGATAGACTTGAAAATTAACTGTGTCATCTCGCTCTGAACAAACATTGGTTTGGCAACATAAATTGTCTTTCAGAAGATAAAAGATGATCTAGTTACCAGATGGTGACAATAAAATCTAGGCTTTGCAAGGCTTACTGGTCTTTTATGAGCCATGACTTACCTCTACAGACTGGCATTGGTATAGGAATCGGGCTGCTGACACATGAGCTTGTGGGTTGGACTGGAGGCCTATAAATGCCCATAATACCTGAATCTCCAAGGAAACTGGTATGAAACAGCAGGAAGTACAGTTCTTAGCCTGCAGAAGGGTAAAGAAGCATCTGCTTGAATTGCCTAATGGTTGCCAACAGTCAGTCACTATGCACTAAATAGCCATTGTTTCTTAAACGTTATATTATACAATAGAGAAGGCTTAAAGGAAGAACACAGAAGTTCACAATACACCATATTATTATTCTTGATCTTAAAGAAATGATGATTAAAGGCAAATTTGGATAAGGAGATGGCATATAAAACGGTATGTAACTAGAGCAGCACATGATACCATGGAGGGACATTCAATGATTAATTTATAGTTACTGAGTATCTCCTATGTACCAGGGGTGTGGGAGGCACTGGCCTTGAGCAGGAAACTTGGCTAAAGCAAAGAGTTTGAACATAGGAACAGTGAAAGGTTAAAGAAGAGGACACCTAAGGGTTAGATTATGAAATCCATCCAAGTAGTCTGTTTTGAAGGCATCAGAGAGCCTCGAAAGTTTCCAGAATAGAAACATGGTATACTTAAAGCAGTACTCTAGGAAGATTAATTGCAAGACCCATATAGAAGGATATTCCATTCTATATGATTTCAATTTCTAACGGGATAATGTATTTTAATGTACAAATGCAAATTTTTATGAGAACAGAAAGAATCTGTTGTTCTTATATAACCTCATGAAACAATCTGTGCTGACCAAATAAATACTCGAGAATATTTGAAATGTATGGTGTGATTTTGAACCACAATCTCCAGAATTTCTACCATAATTTTTTTTCTAAGTAAGGAAAATAAGTTAGGCATAAACCTACTCTGAAATAATGACTTCAAGTGGGCATGATTTCTTACACTTTTCCTTCTACGACAAATACATTATCTACAGAGACAAGGCTGGTTTTAACCTTACTATCCATAATTTACAAAGAGGGAAAATACACTTCAACAGGAAGTGTATTTCTCTCCTTACTGAAACACTGCAGCTCCTGTGGAGGATCTTGGTCCACCCTCCTTTCTGGGCTGGGTAAGCATTACCAAAGATGGCAATATGCTCTGGTCTCAGCCTTCCATGGAGAGTCTGATAAATCTCCTGCTGCAAGTGGCTGCAGTTTGCTGTCTTCACTCTGTAATTAAACACCATGGAGGCTGAAGTCCAATGCTAACATAATAATGCAACTCTATTAGTACTGTATATTAATCCAAACACCAGAAATATTATAAAACAGAGTGGAGGAAGTAATTCTTAGGAGATATTAAGGACTGTCAGAAAACTCTTAGCAATATTAACACTATTTAGATTAAAAGACTATTCCTAACTATAATAGCATTCTCTGAACTGTCATTTAAAACATAAAAGTTATCATATCAACATATTCCCTACAAGCAGAAACAAAATTCTGGGAACTCATATGGAAGCTAAGACTTACCTGAGCTTGCATCCAGACATTGCATTCATTCCGAATTGTACTTCATGTCTCTTAACAGAGCAAGTTCCATTACCCTGGCTCTGCAAAAGGGTCATCTGAGGTGGAAAAGTGATGGTCAAGGAGATAACACGAAAAAAAGTAGGCAAGATTGGAAAATTTATGCTCTTATTTTCCCTCAACACTATTTATATTTTATTAATATATCATTCAAGTCAAAAATGTGTGCTTTTTTCCTCTAGTAATTAAAAAAACAGAGACAATTACTGTTTTTCCAAAATGGTTAACCATATACCAGCATACAAATATCTCATTAAAACAAACAAAAATCAGTCCACCCCTCACCTTTGGCCAGTCTAATGTAAGTTTTAAAGCCTTTGGTGGTATGAGCATTTAAGAACATAACGTATTCATAATTTGGTAAAGAAAATGAATACCTAAAAAATGGGGAAACTTGGACAATTGGAAAATCTAAAAGATCAGCTTCTCATTAGGCTACAAAAGGCTACCCAGCTCCAAAAAGGATACTGAGTAACTTATATCACCAGTTAGAGCCAAGAGTGGCTTCCCAACAATATAGCCAGGATTCCCACTTCTAGGACCAGTAAGAGAAGCAGCTGTGCTCTGTTGAAAAGCCTGCAGAAAGAGTGAAGAAAAGTCATTTATGGAGAAAAGCATGCTTTGCCACCTTCCACTGCTTGGCTTCATATTCTTTCTTAAGGCAATGTAATAAGCGAGCTACAATGAACAATGTGGCTTCTTTCCACAGTGTAGCATTTTGCAGAAATTTCTACTGCAGTATTTTACCTTTTTTTATTCACTAAAATAAATCCTCAGTGATCTGAATATTGAAATGCACTATATGCCACTTCTATCTAGGATTACAACCAAGGATCTCTCAAGGATACCTTAACCCTGTTTCTAAACATTTATTAGAAATTTAGGGCTATGTTCAGTCTGGCTAAAATCAGAGGAATTTAAAAGTAACTTAAAAAAAATATATTTTAGTTAACTATAGATATTCCAGAGATGAGTTCTGACAGACACAAAACTTGGATGATCACCTGAAGGTAGAGTTGAGAATTCTGCTGGGTTCATAAAGAGGAAAGAAGTAGAAGAAAGCCAAATGGTGGTGATCAAGACTGGAAATTTAAATCAAGTGGAAAATAAATAGAATTCTGAATATGAGAAAAGCTAAAGAATTTCTGTGGATGTTGGTTGAATTTATGATTCAAAACAACTATTTAAAAAAAGAGTTTTGAGATTGAAGTCCTGCTTGCTGGACCAGACACAGCATCAGAGAAAATGTTAACAAATAAATTATGAAATATTAAATGTTGAGGCATTAATCAACAGACTGAACTAGGGCTTCGTATTCTTATTCTATTTCACATGGATTACAGAAGCAGGGGAACTATGTCTAACGCAGTACTTCTTCCTTTCCCAATCCCCTATAAGAGAAGGGCCCTAACCCTGAAGTGAATGATGAAGTGTTGCTGTAAGGAAAGGCGTGGCTCCACAGTCAGGTTGGTTTGCTCAAAACTGACAGAGACTTTCTGAATTCCAAAAGTCCCATTGGTCTCTATCTCATAGGTGACCTGAAATGCAAAACAATAATCAATTAATAAAAATAGTTATTGGGCCAATTATGTTAAGGGTAGATTTTCTGTTTTTAAGGGTTTATTGTAACTGAATGAGGGAGACTGAAAAAGTAACATTAAAAATGCCAAACACAAATACCATAAAACGATAAAGATGACTTCATATTACACTTTCCTATGGAGAATAAGCTAGATAGAGCTCTCTGAAAGGGTTCATGGAGGAGGTGACTTTATGGTAAGAATTGAAAAGGAAGAAAAGTTTTGATTGTGGGTAGAGAAGGGCAAGTAGAAACAGAGGTAGAAATGAGCATGGAACAGATGGGGTTTACTTGGCTCTCATAATGTCTGAGGATGGAAGTCACAAGTAATTGAAGGTAACCTTAAATTTCTTAGCACAGTCTTTAAAAGGATGCTTTAAGATAATTTTTGCTTTTTTAGGTTGGATCAATTAGAAGAGAGAGAATAGAGGAAGAAAAGTTGACTTTTCAGACTTTCAGATGTTATTGACTATGTCAACGAAGAAAACATGGTCAGTCAGTAAGAACTGGTAAAAGGCTGCATGTGGGCAAAGGAAGAAGAGTCAGAAATAATTCTAATGTTCTGGTCCTGAAACACCAGAGGATGGAGGATGGTGGCAATGGAAATGACTGACACATGGTAGGGAAAAAGATGATGGGCTCAATTCTTGTCATGTTAAATTTCAGGTAATGCACAAAAATTTAGGTGGGGTCAGCCTGGTACTTAACAGACGATGAGGTACCTCTGGTAATGCTGATCAATATACATTATCAGTCTAGAAACTGAGGCCAGGATCCCTACCTGGGAAACAACATTCTGACAAGTGTTTCCAGCCAACACGGGAGGACCAGCCTGCGAGACAAGTGTTACAGGAACCTGGAACTAGCAAGGGAAAGAAGGAAGTCAACGAAATTGAAAGCAGTATTTTTTCTTCTTGCTAGATATTGTACTAAAATGAGCATTTTCCCTTCCCCTTGATCATTCCTTTTTTTTTTTTTTTATTTCAGCATATTATAGGGGTACAGGTGTTTAGGTTACATATGTTGATCATTCCTTTTCTCTCTTCATCCATTGCCAGCCTACAATTTAAATTCAAAAGTCTTTCTAACCAGCACTTCTCAAAACTTATTTCTCAAAACACTAATTCTATTAGACATAAAATAACGGTTTTATGGTCAAATAATTTTAGAAATACTGTATTCAATACTCTCCCCTTAGAGATTAATAAGGCCCTCTAGCAAATTAAAGATTCCAAGAAGCCCACCCTAAATATAGTTTATTTACCCCAATGTTTTCCAAACTTATCTAATACCTTATGAATCCTTATTTCACAAGGCTGTTAATGGTATAGAACATACTTGCAAAAGCACTATTTTAGATTCATATTTAACTGTTTGCAACATCACGCTTACATTTATGTTTCACTATTACAGTCTGGACTGAAATTGCCTCAGATGAAAAGGGGCCAAATATTCTTTTTCTTTTTTCCAGATAAACAGCATCATACCTCCATATTCTGCAGATCAGTCATACCTCTTGGAACCTAGAATAAGAGAACAGCAGGGACAGGAGTGCATGTATCTCACGGAAAATTATGAGGAGCTTGTGGTTTTTATATCACTATCAACAGGCTTTGGTTTTGGGGGAAAATCAATAGATTAGAATGATTTGTTTCCTCTCTTCCACCTCACTCTTCCTTACACTAAAATGGCAGGGAGTGGAGAGCTAAATGGGAGGGTGGATAGACTGTGATACCCACCTACCTTGCCAGCTCTGCTGAACAGCGAAAACAAGAAGTTTGGTGAAATAGTGAGATGTTATCCCCTTTCCGCCCTCCTAAGCCATCCTATTAGCAAGAAGGGTGAGGATCCTAGCCATATCTCTCTAATTCTTTAATCTGTCTTCAGATGATAGGGTCTCTAGGCCTTGTGACTTTTATGTAGTTCTTGAGGATTGTGACTTCCAGTTCAATGCTCTTTCCACAACCCACAACAGTTGGAAGCATGTTGACTTCAAATCCACAGTGGTGACAGAGTGGGAATAGAATGAGCACCCACCTTCAAGACTGTGAAGTCACAGTAAGAGGCAGCATTGAGGGCTGAATCCAAGGTACAGCTACTTGCCAGGTTCTTGAAGAAACGCGTGCAGGTTGTATGTTTACTCTCTAGGAAACCTTAGAACACAAAGAATTAAGAGAGTGGTAAATGAGAAAGCCTATTTTAAATTGAACAAAAAGGCTGGTACTTCTGCCATGCTTACCTGCAGGATTGCTCTCAGCACAGAGTCCTCCAGCTCCAACGCCTGCAGGCTGTCTCAACAAGCTTATTACAGACCACTGGGGGAAGTAAGTAAGAATGGGGTCCCCAGCCTGAATAAAATATAGGAGAAATTTATTCATAGCAAGCTTGGATTGAACTACACCAGAAAAGAAAAAGCAGAAACAAAGGTTAACTCAATAGCTTGTTTATATGGACAGCGCTGCTCTCCAAAGAGCCGACAATGGTTTATCTAGCTGCGGGGAAGTACCACAAAGATAGCTTATCAATTGTCTGCTCTGAGAGGAAAACCCAAACCAAACAATCCTGTCCCCTTTCCCAGGCTCACCTTGTAAAAAGCTGATGGTGACTGGGTTTGGAATGCTGAAGTGAATGATTCGCCTCCAAACTCTGCAGCCAGGGCCTGGAAGTTGGTTGCATTAACCTTTTGGAGCTTCTGGAAATAGTTTAATTTTGCTATAACGTTTTTAAAAGAAAAAGCGTTTAGATAAAAGAAGATTATGTATTTTAAAATATCTGGCATGCCAAATAACTAATTTTTAAAAATATTTTCATCGAAGCATAATATAAAGTGTATAAATATACTCATTTTAAGTATAAACTCAAAAAATTATTACAAATTTATATACTTGTATTACCACCACTCAGATCAAGTTATAGAGCATTTTCCCAGAAGGTTCCCAATCAATACTCCATCTCCAGAGATAACAATTCTGATAGCAATCTGTTAACTAAATCATTGTTTTATTATTAAGATCTAAGAATATGGTCAATGAATGCCAGTCAGTTCCAAGTCTCTGATGGCCAAGAATGTGTATGATTAGCAATTTGTGATGAAAATAGTAAGCTCAATAATGCTTATATTTGCCCCACACTAAATGAGTCTCTGATACAACAAAATGGTACTATTTCCTTAGGAATATGACAAAATTAGAGACTGTTTGATCTGTCCTCCCCAAATCTTCCTGTTTCCTCTAAACTTCAACTGACAGTCCTAATGATAATGTTTCCATCTCTCAAGTTTATGGATTTGTTGTGTTTTATTCCTTTCACCTTGTAATTCCTACATTCAAGATTTCAGATACCGCAAAAGGGTACTTTCTGTAACAATTCTATAATTTCTATTATAGCAATATATAAATCTATCTGGGCTTCTGTAGCCACCTCTTCTTTTTCTTTTTAATACCCCCTTTTTTTTTTTTTTTGCACAGCTGACACCTTGATTTCACGTAGCCATTTCTTTATGGCACTTCAGAACCAGGGCAGAGATGTAGGAAAAGGGTCCTGGTGCTTTCCCCTGCCTAGAGGGTGGCAGGTGATAGACAACACTGTCTGCTTTACTACTCCAAGTCTTCTGCTAACTTGAAAAAACAGCAGAAATGTGTCCCATGTTAATTTCATTCTTCATATAATTATGGTCATGTAGACAGTCAAAAGGTTATAAGACCTGCATCATTGAAAGCTAATGAGCATTCCACATTATATAAGCTTGACCTTGATCCTCCGTGATCACATCTTAATTATTTGGCTTTTCAGCTTTCTGATACAACGTGAAATAAATGAACACAACTCTCAATTCTGGGGCCTTTAAGACTACTCACTCTCTATACATCTCCTAGATCCTTGATACTCAAAGTGAGGTGCGTAGATTTAGCAGCTCCAGCATCACCTAGGAAGTTTGTCAGAAATACAGACTCTCAGGCCCTCCCAACTTACTAACACATGTCAAAATCTGCATGTTAACAAGATATCCATGGGATGTGCATGCATATTAGAGTTTGAAAAGCATTGCTCTGAAACAGGTGATGGTGATACTGCTGGTCCATGGGCCAACTTCGACCTCTGATCTGAAATCTTCAAAATCTGAAGCATCCAAGAGCTACTTTATCATTTTACTCAGAACTGATACCCTGAAAACCATATGGAAGAGATATTTACCTCATATATAATGCAGTTATTTCTATCCTTATGAATGAAGAAAACTTAAAGTTAAGCTAAGAAAGAAGATGGCAAATATCTATCTGGCTATTTTTTTATGGCTTAAAATGAATATGAGAAGGTTAACATGTCACTCACTTCAGTGAAGAGATATTGGTGGTAGTGGTAATAAGCACAGACTAAGGAGAATTCTTGCCTAAAATTTCTACCGTCATATGTGATATATTATATTAATACTTAACAGAGCTTAAAGGTATTTAGATTTAGATTGATGCAATTTCAGATGTGAAAAGAAGCCTAAAGACCATCTGACCCAATTTCATTAGGAAATTTGGATCCTCACAGGTAAAAGAGTAGCAAACAGCCACAGAGGTAGGAGTAGATTGCAGAACTTCTGATTCCTGGTCTAAGTTTTTCCCTACTTCATCGTGCCATATAGACTTTGACTAAAAACATCCTTTCCTGATGATCGTTATCAGTAGATATTAAGCACTGCGGGAAATAAAAGATATCATCCATCATCTCAAGGTGCTGACACAATTTACCTGGAGAGACATGATGTTCACATGAACTGATAACAATACAAGGAATCCTGTAAGTTCCAAGGGAGTGACTCAAATAATAAATGCCTTAGAACTTCAGAGGATGGGCTCACTTCCAACAGGTGAGCAAGAAAAGACTTACAGAAGAGCTAGGGATTTTAAAATGCAAAGAGAAAGAAGAACATTTGAGTCAAGGAAGAAAGCAAATACAGACTTGGGAAAAATGCAAGCCATATTTTAAGGACAAGGAGTAGATAAGTTTCGCCAAAGTAGAAGGTCAATGTAGAGAGTAACAGGAGAAAAGCCTGGAAAGCTAAGTTGGATCAAATATAAGAGCATCTTGATTGGCAAGCTAAAGAAGTTAGATGTTATTCTATAGGAAGTGGGAAGTCATTGGAGGTTTCTGAATAAGGAAGCAATATAATGCGATGCTATGGAAAGATTAACCTAGTAAAGTGATTCTCCATGGTTGTGTGTACTGTGTGCATATGGTATGTGGGTATGTGTGACAGAAGTAGGCAAATAACCAGAACCAAAGGGGGAAGCTTTTGTTTTTTGCATGCTAAGCTTGAATCTATTCCCAAGCCTCATTCAGGGACAGTTCACTGATGTAATGGTTCATTATTACTACTGGAAGTGGCCCTATTTCTCAGGCGTTGTAGGGGGAAAGAAAGTTCAGATCCATTGGTCTAGAAGCAGTGTACAAGATCACATGAGAGGCAGCAGTGGGGATTCAAAGCAGGGAGCACCAGTTGGGCACTCCCTCAATAGCTCTGGAGCATGATCAAAAGGCTGGATTTAGAAGGTAGTAGAAGGTTTGGAAAGGAAGGGGCAGGCTTACCTTAAATTGAAGTATTCACCTTGCTCCCTTTACCCTCTGACAATCTAAAAAACCACTAGGCATCTGAAAAGGCTGGATTTAGAAGGTAGTAGAAGGTTTGGAAAGGAAGGGGCAGCCTTACCTTAAATTGAAGTATTCACCTTGCTCCCTTTACCCTCTGACAACCTAAAAGACCACTAGGCATCTGACAAATGCTTTCAGTTCCAGTCCCCCCCAATCCCAAAATTGATTCTTTTCTGAGATGAATATAGTTTTTCAATTTCTTTTCTAACAGTGAGGTGAAATCAGGGTGACTTGACTTTCAGGATGAAAGGAACATTTAAATCTATTTTGTACAGGAACATTGCTTCATAGACATTAAAATAAGATATATTAGCTTCGTATCTTTAGAAAGGTTATAGTTATCACTAGCAAATTTCCAAGTCCGTTAAAAAACTCTAGTAATAACCGTCTCTTATCTTTATTGCACTCTACAGTTATAGAACACTTTCATCTTCAAGGCCAGTGATATTATTTCACACTTTACAGTTGAAGAAATGAGCTTGGAAATGCTAAGGGATTTGCTCAAGTTTGTGCAGCTGGTAAGAAAATGGTAGTAGTCTAATGTTCCTTCTCCTACACTGTTGCCTTACGAAATAAAAACAAGGTTAGCACAGACTCATTTGTTAAAGATGTTCATTCAAGTATTATTTGGTGTCTACTATGTGTCCAGCACTTGGGATTCAGTGAATGTACATTGTAGCAAGTGGGTGATATGGTCTATCTGTGATTATCTGAACTAAGAGTGATGATTAAAAGAGGTGGACACTGCCCCTAACATCGAGGAAGAGGGCTGAGGCTGGGCATCCTCAGGGAACATCAGTAAGAACACCTGCAGTAGTATGAGCTGCAGGGTGCACATTGAGCAGTAGAGACTTCTGAGGGTCCAGTACTGAAATTGAAGTTCTGTATGAGTTTTCTGATCCACAGCCAATAGGGCATAAGAAACTGCAAATATTCAGTAACAAGAGACACAAAAAAGAGGTAGAAAGAGGGGTAGAGGTTCAAAGGACAAAAAAAAAAAAAAACTTTTAAAAAAGAAAGAAATGGAAAAAAGGCCAGAGAAAAAGTTAATTCTCAACAAATGTTAGACAATAAGAACAGCCAACATGTTTCTACTTACAGTTGTTCACATGGACACAAAACTGCCTAATTCCATTTGAATCCATGAAAACTCTTGAAGGAAATGGGGAATTACTCCTGAAGATAAGAGAGTTGTCTACACACACCCAGCTTGAAGATCTGTGAGGAAAGAGGAAGATACATTAGAAGTGGAGGGGTAGGTCTAAAGAAGAGGGCTTCACGGATGGCTCAAGAGAGGACTCCTCGAGCTGCTACAGGACAACACGAAGGTCCTATTCTACTAGACAGCCCTGCTCTAGATAATCAGAAAAGGCCATTTCTGGGAAAAAAACAAGGGAATGTCCTAGCAGTGGAAGTGGGGGCAGGAGGCAGGAAAGCTAACATTTCCTACTTCCAAATATTACCCATTCAAGGGCCCAAACGCTTTTAGGATTCAGCCTGCATGCAGAAACTCACCTTACGCTGCCAGGAAGGCAGAAGGAGAAAACTGTCCTCGGATGGAGAAGATAGCAGTCCCTGTCGCAGCAGCAATTTATATCACAGGTACCAGGAGTCAAGTCACAGACACAGATCGGTAAGACTATGAAAGTACAACATAAAGTAGAACGAGCGGGATGAGGATCCCCAAGTTCTTCCAAGTGCTAATTCCCCCTCTTCCGACAGCCCCATTCCTAGCTTTGTGGCAATTCAACTTTGTTCACAGAATTTTAGATCTGAAAAGTCAGTAGTTTCCACCTCCCACAACCCCTTCCCTCACCTGGGAAAAGTTCCACGGTTCTATTCCTAGGCGCCGAGGAGGTCACGAGAGTAGGGCCCACAGTAGAGATCCCAAGCACGTCCGGGGGAGTTGCAGTCCCCTCCGAGGAGGACTGGACGGTCCCGCCCAGCGTCCCGGGCCCCAGGTCCGGAGAGGTGGGCACTGCCCCTGATGCGGAGGAAGAAGGCTGAGGCTGGGCATTCTCGGGCAACGTCAGGAAGAACACCTGCAGAAGCACGAGCTGCAAGCTGCACATGGGGCAGTAGAGACTTCTGAGGGTCCTACTTGGGCCTCCGCGGTCTCTAAACGCGTTGCTAGAGCGTGGCTGGGAGGAGTCGCATAGCGACTGACGTCATCCTCATGCATCTTCTCATTGGCTCATGGCGATTGCTGCGAACTTTTCAGCCAATAGAAAGCGTGGTTGTTACAGCTCTTTCAGCAGCCTTCAATCTGCGCCCTCCTCCTTAGGCGGGCCGGGCACTGCCTCCGTCGCCTGGCAACCACCGGTGGCAAAGGAGCTGTTGCCGCTTCCCTCCGCTAGATGACGGTAGGAGTTAGGCGGTCGAACAGATGCTGTGGAGTCCGGCGGAGACTTCGCGGCTCAGAGGCTTCGGGTCTTTCTTCCTAGATAGAGGGACACCCCAGAGGCCCGAACTAGAATTACAAGTCTTTTCCACTACGGATTCTAATGGTGAGAAACCCTTTCTATGGAAGGATAAAGATCTCAAGGGGGAAAATATACTGGTCACATACCTTAAAAAGTCTCCTCTAATACAGTGGGGTGTTTTTGTTTTGTTGTGGAAACACATTAGAAGTAATGTTCATTCGGCTTCTTAAATTTTAACATTGTGAAATTTTAAGACCCTCAATAAATGCATCAAATTGTTAAAGGTGGACTGCATATATTTGTTGCTAGAAAAAGTAGTGAGAGAAGGGGGATTAGGAATAAGAAAAAAGGGTGGGGAAAATGTGAGAAGATAGGGAGAGATGAAGTAAAAAAAAGGAGAAACAGATTTTCTGGGAGATGAGGAGAAAATAAGATGCAGGAATAGAACTAGTCAAGGAATGAAGATGAAAACTTACTTTTTGCCATTATAATCACTACTTTTGAACCCTTTCTAGGAAGTTTTTGGTTTTTTCAGGAGTGGTGTGCCCCTCCAGATTCTCTAGAGCAGTGCTGTCCAATAGAACTTTCTGCAGTGTCGCAAATGTTCCATATTTGCACTGTCCAATATGGGAGCCACAGGCCATATGTGGCTGTTGCACACTTGAAATGTGGCAAGTGTGACTGAAGAGCTGAATTTTTTTTCTAGGAGCTGAACTTTTAATATTTAAATTTTAATTAATTCAAAGTTAAATAACCACAGATGAGAGTAGCTACTGTATTGTACAGTAGGACTCTAGATGATCAAAATCTTGCTGTTGCTAGACCTATTGTTTTCTTGTGTTGACATTTCTTTTTTCCTTGTTTTTTTTTTCTTTCCCCATGCAGGCTTCCTAATGTTCACATTTCTGACATCTGGATTATTTCAGTTGTTTGGTTTTGAGATAATTAAGATACGTTAAAAGTTATCTAAAATCTAGTACACTGGCCTGAAATATAGCAAATACTTCCCTTTCCAAGCGAATTGCTTACATAGATACGTTTTAGGACACCTGACTTTACTCATGTTCTTTGACAAGACCTTGATTTTATAATGTTTTGAAGTCAGCAGCTTGATGTATCTCTGTGTTATAAATATTCTCAAACATATTTTTATGTGATTGGGTGATGCCAGCTATGGGAGATACGCATATTTATGTTTGACCTTAAAACAATTATCTGCCTTATTAGTAATGTCTGTAGGAAAAGGCCAAATTCAGATTATTCAAATTATATGTAGAATATAAGCTGCACAAAACAAGGAGTTTTATCTATGTTGTTCACTGATGTATCCCCATGCCTAGAACAGTACATGTTAGATGTGCATTAAATATTTTTAAAAATATACCAAAGATTGTTTTGTTGAACTCTTTAGACTTAACTCCTATAAATATTTATAGTTTGTTTTATTTTATTATTATATTTATTTCTATAAAATTTATGTTGTACATCCAATCAGAGACTATTTTAGATTTCAAAGGTTGGAATTTAAATGGCAACTCTCAGACAGTGTTAAGTTATTCCTGAATTTATTAGCGTTGGCAAAAGACTCTGTTGATTGAAATAATTTCAGGGATAAGTAGTAAGGAAATAATGTTTCAGGATCTTTCTGAGTTGCTTTTTCTTATTTTTAAATTTTAGCACTTAAAATGATTTTTAGAAAAGTTAAGTTTTTTATTTTCTCTGTTTTGTTATAATTGAGCAAAAAGATTATTTGTATTGTTGATATTATGTGTTTGTAGGGATTTATGTAATATGGAACTCTCAATTCTTTTTAGACCTAATATTAAAATCTGAAAGATAATTTTGAGGTAGAAGAATGATGTTTATTCACGTGTCATGCAGATGCCAGTTTTAACGTAGGAACTAAGTCTTAAATTGAGATAATATAATATGACATTACCTCAGAAGCAAAGATTTCCAAATTAGATCATTTGGTACTAACACCTGTCTGGATTAAGTGTTTGGGATTAAAAGACTTCAATATGTGACTGGAAATTTAGCCAGGAGATTATATCGAGATCAGATTCTAGCCTTTCCCCACTTCTCTCCTCTTTCCCAAATCTCTAAAAATTATAGAAAAGTTAGGTAGATACACACACTCTTGTGCATACATACATACATCCAGATATTGAAAAACATGAAAGGGTACTCTCATGGACCAGATATTATAAGAATCCTTGATAAATAGTAGGCAGATGAGATTGGATTGAAAGTGGACAAACAAAAGTTGCATATCAAAGGCCTTATACAGAAGTGGAAGTGGCTTCTAGGGAGCTCTCAGCATACAGAAAGCTACTGGTTATTATCAGTAGGGGCCCTTAGATAATTGTATGAGTTATTGACTGAGGTATCACTGTAGGAGGAGCCAGGTAGGTCAGCCTCTTAACCTTACCCTCACTAGTGCATGCAGTGGGTAACAGAAGAATTTGCCCCTAAAGGTATGGGTAGGGATAGGGAGAGGCAGGCCACGCAGGCACTTTTGCTGAACAGGCAGGACAGTGCCCTGGCTGGCTTCTGACATCTAAAAGGAAGAGAGAAGCCCCATACTTTGAAACTGGTACTAGCACACTGCTATGGTTTGAATGTCTCTTCCAAAACTCATGTTGACACTTAATCTCCAATGTGACAGTATTGAGAGGTGGGGCCTTTGAGAAGTGATTGTATCATGAGAGCTCTGCCCTCATGAATGGATTTATCCATTCATGAGTTAATGGATTAATGGGTTATTGTGGGAGGGGAACTAATGACTTTACAAGAAGAGGAAGAGAGACCTAGCTAGCAAGTTAGCACACTCAGCCTCCTTGCCATGTGATGCCCTCTGCTGCCTTGGGATGCCACAAAGAGTCCCCACCAGCAAGAAGACCCTCATGAGATGGCCCCTTGACCTTGGACTTCCCAGCCTCCACAACTATAGGAAATTTATTTTCCTTATAAATTACACAGTCTAGGGTTTTTTTTTTGTTTTGTTGTTGTTTTGTTTTGTTTTTGAGACAGTCTCGCTCTGTCACCCAGGCTAGAGTGCAGTGGTGTCATCAAAGCTCACTGCAACCTGAAACTCCTGGACTCAAGCGATCCTCCTGCCTCATCCTCCCAAGTAGCTGGGACTACAGGTGTGCACCACTGTGCCTGGCTAATTTTTGTTTTTGTTTTGTTTTGTTTTGTTTTTAGTAGAGAAGTGGGTCTTGCATTTGCTCAGGCTGGTCTTGAACTCCTGACCTCAAGTGATCCTCCTGCCTTGGCCCCCCAGAATGCTAGGATTACAGGCATGAAGCACTATGCTCGGCCCAGTTTTAGGTATTCTGTTATAAGCAACAGAAAATGGACTAGACACACATTGTGTCAAACCACACATCCACCATTTCTTCCTTCACAAATCCTGGAGGCAGAAGCAGTTAACAGATCCACCATGTATGCAGGCTAACAGGGAATCTCAATCACCAAGATGAACACACAGTCAAAAGATCCAAATTTGAAAAACAAAAAGACTAGCAAGTAAAAAAGAGGTACAATACTCAAGCAGAATTGAAACTTGATGAAATGAGTTAATAGGACTAGTTAGAACAAGAATTTATGACAAATATAATTAGCATCTCCAGAGAGACACAAGAGAATATTGCATTTGTTAAACAAGGAATCAGCTAGGAATTATGATTAAAGATGGCAGAAAAACGCACATTTGACTCTTTTTCTGAAATTTTATTAGAATTCCGTTTAAGAATTAACTGCACATAAGTGCATAAATTCACAAAAACAAAAAGAACTTGGGAGTGTGGGTTGATCATTAGCAGATGATTTCCCATATATTTCTGAAGAAAGAAATTGGAAGAATGTTGACTGAAGAAGTAGCAGCACAGAACATACATGGAGGGGGGCTGCAGCAAAGTAGGCAGCTGACTTTTAGCAGAACACCACAGTGTAATGAGAGTTAAAGATAGCAGGTAAGGAGAGAGTAAAGGGAGAAGTTGACTGAAAACAAGGAAATGAATTGAAGGTCTGTATATTGAATAGATTGCCTTTGTACCCCAAATGACCTATAACTAGATATTTTCCTTCAGGAAAAAAGAATAGAGTTCTTTCTAGAAACCAATATACCATCTAGTTAGTATCCTCAGAGATATTTGAGAAGTAAGTAATAAAACATTCATGATATTAGAGTAGAGACTGCTTCTTTGGACAAAGATCAATCAGAGAATAAGAGGGAGCTCTTGGAAATTAAAACTATGATTGCTGATCTTAACACTTTTTTGTTTGTTTAAAACTTTGGAATATAAATATAAGGACATCTCCTAGTCTATAGAACAAAAAGGTAAATAAATAGAAAATATGAGACATAGAGGATTAAAACTAGAGATCTAACATTCGGTTAATATGAGTTCCAGAAAAAAAAGAGAAAATGAAAGAATTAGATTGGTTAAAGAAATATTAGCAGATTTCCTAATGATAAAGAAAGTAATATATATAATGAATGCTTGAATCCAGTAAATAAAGAATACTCATTGGTTTCAAAGGAGTTGAATCTTCAGACGATAATAAGCAGATAATAAGCAGGATAATAAACACTGGATAATAAGCAGAATTAATGTAAAACTAGACATATACAGAAAGTAAGG